GGGACGGGGCGGCGTTGACTTCGTGGACGACATGGGTCGGCCGATCTTCAGATGCGCCCTGTCCAAGGCGGCCGGCTGGTTATCGTCGGCCTCGAGCGCGCGCGCGGAGGCCCCGAGGACAGCTTTTGCTCGATCCCACGTCCCTTCTGGGTTACAAATTCGGCCTCAAGGACTATGTGTTTTGCGCTTTGGGCCATCAGCAAAACGGCTTGGGATTTAAAGCTGGCCTCGCGGAAGAGGGCGAGAGCTCATTGATTCCACGTCTTTAGAGAAAACGCGATTTCGGATCTCTGGCTCTCTCTTCTGCTCCACCTCTTCCTCTTCCTTCTTCCATCCTCCCCTCTGAGCGCCTCCTCGCCCAGCGTTGTCCCCAACCTTCTACTCCGGCTTCCTCGGGCTATCCCGCCTCCTCCTCCTCCTCTTTTGCCTGCTTCTTCTTCTGTTTCCAATCCCTTCTCCCGCCCTTCCTCCGTGGCCACTCTGGCTCAGGTCATTTGGGCTCACGACCTCACGCTCTGGTAGGCGCCACCTACGGGCAAAGAGCGAGCACCGCTGATCTACGACAGCCTCCAATTTTCGTTTTCCGCGAAGGTCTTTCCATGGCCAGTGCTTCTTTGGGGCAGTTCGATGCCAAGGCCAGCTCATTGTCTTTGCCCTGCCTGCTGCAACTGTTTGGCAGGCGAGCTCCCTAGAAGACCAAGTCTGTGGGCCTCTGGGTCTGGATGCGCTTATGGGTACCTTCCTGTTTCCACACGTTGAGATACTGTGTATCTGGCTCAAAAAAAGGCTGGCGCTTCCCGGGCTGTGCCCCCCCCGCCCCCATCCCACCCGCGCTGTAAGGGAGGGGGAGGCACCCCAGGGGAGGCACGAGAGTCTCAAGGTGATGGAACAACCAATTGGGAGCGCTGTGCTGTTTCAGCCTGTCTGTGAAGACTGCGCGGGTATGGTTGAAAAGGTCGCCGCTGCTGCTGCACATGGCTGAACCTCTTGCAGCTCACGCACGGGCCGCGACATGTGGACATCCGCAAGATTGGCCGAACGGATTGAACATAGGACTTCGACAGACGTCTGCTTGACATGCGTTGGAGGTGTCGAGGTGGAGGTGTCTTCGTTGAAGTTCTTGGTCCTGGACCAGATGATGGGGGTCGCGGATCACTTGAGCGAGCAGGTCAGGGCCAGGCGTGCCGAGAAGGTCCACATCGACGCTGCAAGCGGCGATCATGGTCCCCTGAGGCCGCTGAGTGAGCGTGCTCCCTGGTGAGACCCTTATCGTTCTCGGGCGCATTCGGCGGTCTCCTCGGCCACCATGTGTTGGAGAAGCGGGCCAACCCAGGTTTCTTGTAAGCATCTGGCGGTCTGCTGGGCCGCCCTGTGGTGGAGGAGCGGGCCCGCCACTGTTCGTAGGCGCATTCGGCGGCCTCTTGGACCACCGCGTGGCGGAGGAGCGGGTGCGAAGTGATGACGGGGAGGCGCGTCGTGGGCCACCGGGATGGCCGAGGCCTTTGTCCTCCTCCTCCTCCTCCTCCGCCGCCTCAGCCAGCGGCCTTTTTCCTCCTCCTCCTCCTCCACCTCCTCCTCCTCCTCCACCTCCTCCTCCTCTTGTCCTGGCGGCCACCCCGTCTTCGGGGACGGGCGCGTGGTCCCAGGGGAGTCTCAGGTCGACGGGCAGCCTCGTGCCCCTGCAACCGTGGCGAGGGCTGGCGGGGGGAGCGCCCGGGTAGAAGAAGTAGAAGAGCTCGTCTTGTGTCATCGCTCGCATGTGGACGGGGGGACTCGATGGTGGGAGCTCGTGGGCACCTCGGGGTCCCATCCGCACCCATGAGGCTCAGTGGGAGAAGGCTGCTTCACAGCCCTCCCAACCCACCCGGCTTCAAAGCGTGGGGCATCGGCCGCCCCTGCGACCGTGGCACGGCCGGAGGGCAGAACGCCCAGCTTCATGTCATCGCTTGCACGGGGACGGGGGGACCTCCGCCGCTCCCCGAGGCGCGCTTCGCGCCCCAGCCTGGCTCGCTGGCCAGCCTCCCCGAGCCCTGCCCAGCGCGGCGCCGCCGATGTCTCCGCCGTCGCTCTTGGCGAGTTCGTCGACACCACGCCCAATGGCATCCTCGGCAGTGCTCCCGCCCCTGCACCTTCCCGCGCCGGTTCTCCTGTGGCTGGCGGCGGGGTCGCCTCGTCGCGGAGAGGGCTTTACCTCCCCCGCCTTGCTAAGGGGGTGGGGGCGGCAGCCTCGGCGTCGGGCCCAGCGTTGCCGCTCGTCCAGCGCCAGGCCCGCGCCAGTTTTGGTGTCTGTGCCTGGCTCTCCTTTGCCTACGCCCTTGGCGAGAAGGGCACCTCGCTTGGCCGCCTTGCCTTCCTTTCGTCCTCGTGCCCGCCTCGGGGTTTTCTCGGCTCGCACCTCATTCGTCCACGGTCGCATGCCGTCGTTTTCCGCCCTTCATGCGGCCGTGCGGGCAGCCCCACGGTTGTGCGTGTACCCTCCTTGCTGTCCATGTCGGGATGGCTAATGGCGTGCTCCATGTCTCATGCAGTCGTGGTGAGCTTGTCCCATGGTTCTTCGTGTATGGACGGTTGATGCTGGTAGGATAGCATCCGAAGCGATGCTTGAGGGCTTGGCCGCCGCGCGCATTGTTACGCTTTCTCTGCCCCGTCGCTGCGCGCGAGGCCGCTTCCGCCTCAAAAAGTGTATTGTGTGTGTACATATGTATGTATCTATGTATGTATGTATGTATGTATGTATGTATGTATGCGTGCATGCATGCATGCATGCATGCATGCATGTATGTATGCATGCATGCATGCATGCATGCATGTATGTATGTATGTATGCATGTATGCATGTATGTATGTATGTATGCATGTATGTATGTATGTATGTCTATATGTATGTATGTATGTATGCGTGGGTGTATGTATGTAGGTCTACATGTATGTATGTATGTATGCATGCATGCATGCATGTATGTATGCATGTATGTATGTATGTATGTAAGAATGAATATATACATGTATATTTGCATGCATGTATGTTTGCATGCATGCATGCATGCATGTATGTATGTATATATGTGTATGTATGTATGTCTGTCTGTCTGTCTGTCTGTCTGTCTGTCTGTCTGTCTGTCTGTCTGTCTGTCTGTCTGTCTGTCTGTATGTATGTATGTATGTATGTATGTATGTATGTATGTATGTGTGTATGTATGTATGTATACATGTCTGTCTGTCTGTCTGTCTGTCTGTCTGTCTGTCTGTCTGTCTGTCTGTCTGTATGTATGTATGTATGTATGTATGTATGTATGTGTGTATGTATGTATGCATTTATGTATATATATACACATATGTGCGCGTGTTTGCGTGCGTGCGTGCGTGCGTGCGTGCGTGCGTGTATGTGTGTGTGTGTGTGTGTTTGTGTGTGTGTGTGCGTGTGTGTGTGTGCGTGTGTGTGTGTGTGCGTGTGTGTGTGTGTGTGTGTGTGTGTGTGTGTGTGTGTGTGTGTGTGTGTGTGTGTGTGTGTGTGTGTGTGTGTGTGTGTGTGTGTGTGCGCTTTTTGTTGTTTGTGTCTGTCAGTGTCAGTGTCAGTGTCAGTGTCTCTGTCTGTGTCTGTGTCTGTGTCTGTTTCTGTGTCTGTGACTTTGTCAGTGTCTATGTCTGAGTTGGCTGCCGTGCGCCTCGGCTTTCCGTCCCGGAGATGGCAGCTGCTCCTGGGGCTGTCAGCGCTGAGACAACACATCCGTCACGCATCCTCGTTCCCGCTGGATGCGGCGACGGAGGAGGTGGAGGAGGAGGAGGAGGAGCAGGAGGAGCAGGAGGAGGACGAGGTTGAGGTGGATGTGGGTCAGTAGAGCGTCGTGGATCAGGCGCGTCGAGATCTCTTCGGGCCCGTCTGGCCCTGCGTGGCCCTCCGCGGGCGGGCGAGGCCGCCTGCGCGGGATGCCCCGCCGCGGCCGCTCCTCTGCCCTTCCGGATCCCGCGGGGGCGCGTGCGCGCCGGCTGCGCTCCGGAGGCTTCGTCGCCGTGCTGCACGCGCGGCTGCCGCGCAGGAAGAGGTGGAGGAGGAGGACGCGAGGGCGCGGTGGAGAGGGAGGACTCGGACCTCCGACGTCGTGGACAGACCAAGACGAAGGGCTCCTCGGACCTTTCAGCCTCTTGGGGGCCCTCTGCAGGCCCATGGGGCCGGCAACAAGACGTCTCTGGAGGGACCCCTGGCCTCGGGCAGAGACGGGGTCGGGAGCTCCCCTGGACTGCGCGCGGAAGCGAACTCAAAAGCGTCGGGTCTCCTCGGAGGTGGGCGCGCGGGCGCGGTGGAGGAAGAAGAGGAGGAGGAGGAGGAGGAGGAGGAGGAGGAGGAGGAGGAGGAAGGAGGAGGAGGAAGAGGAGGTGGAGGAAGAAGACGTGACCCGAGGCTCGGGCGTGCGCAGGCGTGCGCTGCAGACGGGGAGCTCGAGGCCCGCATGCGGCCCCGCTTCGCGAGCGAGCGCGCCCAGACTCAGATAGGTCCCCGACGCCGTGGTCCATCCGCGGCGTGGGCCCCGGGGAGGCCGCGATCCCCTCTGGGGGCCAGCCGGGCATGCCGGTTTCTGACAGCCCTGGGGCCCGGTGCCCAGGGTTTTTTACCTAACAGCGTCAACTGATAGGTTTCTAGTGGTTTCAAACGAGAGCATCATGACTCCCCAGGGGGGTCTGGGCAGATGCCAGACGGGTGCCGCGGAAATCCGGGGATTCCCAATTTTGATTGCCAGGAGCCACATTTTGACTGCCCGGACCCGACAGAACACCATTCCCAGACCACATTTTGAATGCCCGGAGCCAACTGTAGGCCACTTCGTGTTCTTCGTGCTCCCAGAACACCATTCCCAGGCCACATTTTGAATGCCCGGAGCCAACTGTAGGCCACTTCGTGTTCTTCGTTTTCCCAGAACACAATTCCTGTACCATATTTTGATTGCCTGAAGCCAACTGTAGGCCACTTCGTGTTCTTCGTGTTCCCAGAACACCATTCCCAGGACACATTTTGAATGCCCCGAGCCAACTGTAGGCCACTTCGTGTTCTTCGTTTTCCCAGAACACAATTCCTGTACCATATTTTGATTGCCCGAAGCCAACTGTTGGCCACTTCGTGATCTTCGTGTTCCCAGAACACCAGTCCTGTGCCATATTTTGAATGCCCGAGCTGAGGCAGGCTGAGGCCGAGGCAGGCTGAGGCCGAGGCAGGCTGAGGCTGAGGCCGAGGCCGGCTCAGGCCGAGACAGGCTGAGGCTGAGGCTGAGGCTGAGGCAGGGGATGAGGCCGAGGCAGGCTGAAGCTGAGACAAGGTGAGGCTGAGGCTGACGCAGGTTGAGGCCGAGGCAGGCTGAGGCTGAGGCTGAGGCAGGCTGAGGCTGAGGTAGGCTGAGGCTGAGGCTGACGCAGGCTGAGGCCGATGCAGGCTGAGGCTGAGGCTGAGGCAGGCTGAGGCTGAGGCAGGCTGAGACTGAGGCTGAGGCAGGCTGAGGCTGAGGCTGAGGCTGATGCAGGCTGAGGCTGAGAGGCTGACGCTGAGGCTGAGGCAGGCTGAGGCTGAGGCTGAGACTGAGGCAGGCTGAGGCTGAGGCTGACGAAGGCTGAGGCAGGCTAAGGCTGAGGCTGAAGCTGAGGCAGGCTGAGGCTGAGGCTGAGGCTGAGGCTGAGGCTGAGGCTGGGGCTGAGGCAAGCTGCGGCTGAGGCAGGCTAAGGCAGGCTGAGGCTGAGGCTGAGGCTGAGGCAGGCTGAGGCTGAGGCTGAGGCCGAGGCATGCTGAGGCTGAGGCCGAGGCAAGCCGAGGCAGGCTGAGGCTGAGGCTGAGGCTGATGCTGAGGCAGGCTGAGGCCGAGACAGGCTGAGGCTGAGGCTGAGGCAGGCTGAGGCTGAGGCAGGCTGAGGCTGAGGCCGAGGCAGGCTCAGGCCGAGACAGGCTGAGGCTGAGACTGAGGCTGAGGCTGAGGCCGAGGCAGGCCGAAGCTGAGACAAGGTGAGGCTGAATGGGGGGGGGGAAGGGGGGGGGGGGGGGAGGAGGGAGGGGAGGCTGAGGCAGGCTGAGGCCGAGGCTGAGGCCGAGGCAGGCTGAGGCTGAGGCAGCCGAGGCAGGCTGAGGCTGAGGCTGAGGCTGAGGCAGGCTGAGCTGAGGCAGGCTGAGGCTGAGGCTGACGCAGGCTGAGGCTGAGGCTGAGGCAGGCTGAGGCTGAGGCTGAGGCAGGCTGAGGCTGAGGCCGAGGCAGGCTGAGGCTGAGGCTGAGGCAAGCCGAGGCAGGCTGAGGCTGAGGCTGAAACTGAGGCAGGCTGAGGCATCCGTAGGAATCCATAGGAATCCTTAGGAATCCCTAGGAATCCTTAGGAATCCGTAGGCATCCTTAGGAATCCGTAGGAATCCTTAGGAATCCTTAGGATTCCTCAGGAATCCTTAGGAATCCCTAGGAATCAGGATCCCTAAGTCTTCCTATGGATTCCGAAGGATGCCTAAGGATGCCTTAGGAATCCTAAGGAATCCTCAGGATTCCATTGGATCCTAAGGCCGTTGCCACTGCGACTGTCATTGCGAATGCGACTGCGACAGCGAGAACAGCAGAATTCTACAACTGGATTCTCATCTGAATCTTAAGGGGAATGCTTCCAGATATGCTTATACACATCGCTGTTAGGTTGCTTTGCCGGGATATCTTTTCTTTGGCTGAGCGAGCGGGGAAGCACGCAAGCAAGTAAGGCAAGGGGTCCCTGTGGAGGCCTTGGTCCTGTCCCCGGGGCTGGCTTCTCTTCCTGATGCGTTTCTGTCGGCGGTCCCGGGGCCTGGCGAGGGCCCACGGATGCCGTCGGATGTATGGGCAGGGGCCCCTGGAAGCCGACACTGGGCAAACGCTTTCGGTGAGATCCGACGTCGCGAACAAACGGCAACACTGCGAAAGATCACGACTGGAGCCTTAGACCCCATCTTCCCGCACCACTCTTCGAGCCGGATCGATCTGTGCTGGTCCCGGGCCCGAGACGCGGAGAAACGCCCGTTGTGGAACGATCGCGACGCCGCGATTTCAGGGTTGCCGCCATTGGGCAAACGCCTTCCGCCATGATTTTTCGTTTCGCGACGCGGGCGGGAGCGCGCGGGGCCGCTGCCGCCGCGCGGCCCGCAGAGGCGGCCGCGGGCGCCGTGATCGGGACGCGAGGGGAGCGCGTGAAGGCTCCCCGGCGCTCGCAGCCGCCCCGGGGGAGCCCGTGGGCGACGGGAGCGATGAGCCCAGATCTCCGGCGATGTGTTTTTTCAGCGCGGCCGTCTTTACTCGGGCTTCTGGGGGCCGGGATCAAGACGCTAACCCCGGGGAAGGGCTCGGGAACTCTGGAGCCGCGGATTGACGCCATAACATGGTCGAATGTCTGGGGGAGGGAGGGAGGGAGGAAGGGAGGTGGGAGGGGGGGA